AAACACCTTCAGGTATTAATGTTACCACCTGCATCTTTCATAGTGGCCTGCACACACTTTTATCAGAAATCTTCTGATGGCTTTCTCCACCCCTCCACCATTCCACATTAGTTAAACAGACACTTGTACAGTGAGCTGGCCAAATGACTCTGCAGAAACACAAGGTTTCTGGGGGAATATTTAGGCAGAAGTTAATTCTTGCTTTTTCATTATGCTCAATTAATTATGAGCTTTAGTCTTGCAACAAATCCCTCCTCTTAGTTTTGTTCCCATTGTTTGCAAGGATGCCTGAGAACCATATTCTTATTAAACTACAACAATATACCTGAACATTTTTTAAATACAAGCAGCCTCCTCTTTATTCAATTTCAAATCTACAAAAAAGAAAATGTAGTACGACCTAAAACTGTAGTAGATGAAGCAGACACACAGAAAAGAAGTACTTGCTTATGGAATTTATGAATAATTTACAACACTACATTTTACAGTACCAGGTGCCATACTGTAGATACTATGCTGCAATGCTGTTTTTTTTCACTAGTTCCCTATACAACAGAAATCCGATAAAAGCCAAAAATATTAATAGTGCACTTCAGAAACAATATATATACATAATGTATGCCACTGAAATCCCAAGTTTAAAAAAATGATTCTAAGTAGCATTCTATAAGTGCAGCTTTATAAAAATACAGGTAGTTTTTACATAAGCTACAGCTATGAAATGCAGTCCTTATTAAGCTAATCTACTGTACTTTATATCTTCAACTATAATATAACAATCCAACCAACTTGGCTAAATATAATGCCTTCTGAACCTTGAAAGGAATCTGGTTAATCATTGTGCTATGTTTATTTGAGGTCCTGTCTTTCCCTTTAAGGTAATGTGAGTGCAACAGGATGACAATGCATAGAGGGTAGACGTAAGAGTATTTGACAAGAAGCAAAATAAAGCTGATTTAAAAATAAACCGAGCACTTCCTCACTGTGTTGTTACTAACTGAACTAAAACACCTTATATACTGTACACGTTCAATTCACTTATGAAAAAAAATGCCATTCGGCAGGTGAGGGAAGATCAATATAACAGTTTTTTGTCGTCCTTGCATTGTTGTGACTGAAAATTGTCGCCATCTCCACTTTTAACAAAATCATTTCAACAGGAGCACTCGCACTTTTGAAAGAGATTGCCGATGTTCCCTTGCTTTGAAAACGCACGCAGGGCTTGCCTAACGAGACAAAGCAGTGTGCTGTCACTCCCTTGAGCTAAACTGGTAAACAAATAAAAATGGAATCGTAAAAAAACAAAACATCAGAAAAACGGGGTTGCTTTGCGACAATGACCTTTCTAAAGCATCAAGCGGTTTCTTTCTCTCCGCCATCACAACTCCAAAACGACCGATTAACACAGAGCAAAATCAATTCCCACAATTAGCAGATGGGTTTTGATCTGAATCACGAAATCAATTTAGTTGAAAGCGTGCTAAGGAGCTCAAACACAACAGCAAAGTTCAGCAAAAAACAGTTCTCGCAAAACGATCTTCAACATTCTTTCAATAAACTGCAGAAGTCCTGCACTCCTCAGCTAGTTTTTGTTCAGGAGACTATAGTGTTATTCCCTGAGCACCCCTCAGCCAGACAGCACTTGGGAACCTATTGATTTCTT